CAACGAGGAAGAGATGCAAATCCACAACAAAGACACACAAAATGTCAACTTAAAGACACAAAGCCACCAAAAAACAGATGCAAAGACACACAAAATGATCACAAAGAGAAGCAAAACAACCCTAAAGACTAAACAAGCTCAGATGGACCACCAAAAGACAACACAAGACAACCCCGAGGAGATGCAACATGACCACAAAGAGACGCAAATCCACAAAAAAGAGACACAAAATGTCAACTTAAAGACACAAAACCACCAAAAACACAACCACAAAACTACCACAAAGAAACAAAACAACCACATTTAGAGATTTGAAAGAAAAAATATGAATTTATTTTATGTCCACATCATAAAAAATCTAAATTTTTACATCATTAATTCTTTTACGTTTGTAAAACTGTTCTAGTCCTAAAACACGTTAACATTTCTACATTCGTATTTGTGTTTTATTTATTGTTTATTTCTACTTCATGGATATTGTTGCTTATTTATCTTTATTTATGGAGGCGATAACTTCATTTTTAATCTATTCTACTCTAAAATCGAGGTTTGTTTAGTACTAAAATCTGCCAAAAGAAAAAAAAAAGTTTTAGAGATTCGCTGCTTTTTGAAATATTTCTTTATCTAAAATGTTTTGTTGCAATATTTCAGTGTCATGTGTCGTAATTTAATTCAATGTCAATAAAATGTGAAATATTTACTTGTTCAGGTGCAAATGTTCCAGTTTCACATAATATTTCTGTTTTATTTGCAACATTTCTTAGTTTCTTCTTCACCACGGTCAGCATTACGTTTATATTCTTATTTTCAGTCCTGTACTTTACCTACTTTGATTCTTATGTTTTATTTTATTTCTGTTTTTAGCAAAAGATTAGTTTCATGGCTAATTAAGTTTTCTCTTGTTTCCTCTCATCTTGTTCCATCGACTTCCACATCGAGGCAGACACATGCCAAACGCTCTTATTCTGTTTTCAGGTGTGTTTTTGTTCAGAAATTCAGACAACGCGACTAAAACATCAGTGAGGTCTGTGATTGGCTGCAGCAGGATCCTGTTCATTCCGTGTTCCTGCATCACTGCAGCCTGAAAACCGTCGTTAATGAACGCCGCTGCTGCAATCAGACAACAATCAGTTCAGAGGAGGCTTCAATCTGCCGGACGGCGGCGGCGTCTGCTTCAATCAGGAGGAACCTCAGAGGAACAAATCTGTCCGCTAACGTGGAAGCCTGTTAAAGCGGCGGCGGCGGCTTTAACGAGGCGATAACGTGCTGCTGAGACGAGGAAGACGGCATCAGACGGCCGATAGCCATCATTTAATGGAGCGATAACGTTCAAAAGAGGCACAAAACAGTCGACCGCTGGTCAAATCAAGTCACAAATGCTCTCCAGTAAAAATAAGAACACGTTTAACTACAGCTGTTAAAACCCCGTCATGTTGTTTAAGACGTGATTTTTAGACTCATGCACATATTAAATATATTAAAACCCTGCAGACATGATGCAAAATACCTGGTGACATATGTTAAAGCTGCAGTGTTAATAATTCTGGATCCGACTAATGCAATAATACAGACCTCACAATATTACACATTATAGAACTGAAGCTAACAAATATAAACATTTAGGCTAAAACCCGACGCCATTAAATATCATGAACTAATTCAGAACTAAAGTTAGGACTCATTAAATCCAACGACTTCCTGGATCCTCTATGAGCAAACTTTGCTTTTCTTTCATATTGTTTTTATTACATGTAGCTTGTTTTGTGTTTTTTTTTTTATTGTTTTACTGTGTAATATGTGACGTATTTTATTCCTATAGCTTCAGCTACGTCCATGCTATTAGCATTTTTAATTTGAAAACTCGTAACTTCTGCTAAATTTATTCTGAGTGTCCACATTTTTTATTTTTTTGTATTTTAGAATCCGTTAACTGACAAATTTTGGAAATACTGGCAGAATGATTAATTTTTAAAAAATTAATTGATAATTTTTAAAAATAAAAAGGAAGAATAGTATTATTTGATTTTATTTTTTATTATTATTGCTTTCTGATTGGTCTTATCCGTCACTATATTCATTTACGTGACCAATTTCTGGTTAAAAAAAAAAAAAAAAAGTCATGTGACATCAGCTTTAAACAGTAGTGGTTAATTCAACCTAAACAACAAATTACAGCCGCGGCCAACCAGCGATAACAACGATTAATCATTATTTGATTACTTGCCAGTTGAAGCTTAGCCGATTAAAAACATCAACCGATGAGGCGGAAAAAGAAGAAGGTCGTGCGCGTCAGAAAACTTGTTGCAGATTAGCTGCAGTACCAGGTTGTTCCACCAGGGGGCCACCGTTTACCATTTAATGAGATGAACGATAGCGGTTTGTTTTCTGTGTTTAATATTAGCGCCACACGAAGACTTCTGTGGAGGTTCATGACCTCCAACCAGAACTCACAAGCTTGAGTAGCTGCGACATACTGGGATCGTATAAATATCCCTCGTCGCTAAATTACCCAAGTAGCTTCAAACCCCGTGTCCATCGTGAGAAGTAGATCTATACGTAAACGGAAAAGTGTCCACTGTGTTTCATTTGCTTTCATTATTACTCAAGTAATGATTGTTAAAATGGTCGACTATCAGTGGACAGAAACGTAAACAGTGTGGCTCCCTACAAAAAGCTCTGGTTGAGCTCTTCTGTTTCATTTTTTTTGTTTGTTTTTATATGAGTTTATGCTGAATTAGACCTCAGCTACATTTGCATCTTTCTCCAGTAAGTCCTCTACGAGTTATGTTAAAAAAAAAAACACGACAACATTATGAAACTAACACCGTTGACCAATCAGACGAGAGCACGTCTACCTGGACGCTGCAGACATTAAAACTCTAACTTCATGCGCTAACGAAGGCTGCCGGGTGAATATTCGTGGTCAGAATGATGGTTATTGGTTTAAAATTTGCTGTTGCAAAGTGGCTGAGTTTAGTCCAGATTTGATTTTAGTGAGCAGACGCCAGGCGTGTGAAGTGTTTCGTCGTGAATGACTCACAGCAACCAGTGGAACCAGACAGACTGGAACCACTCCTCCGACTCTTCATACAGCCGCCGTGTGGAAGTAAATCTGCTCTTCGCGGCCTCAGAAGTAAATCAACTAATAAATACGTCTCGGCTGCACCTGCCTGACTCTGAATTTACAGGAGAATGGGTTGCAGCTCCTGATAGCAGTCAAAGTGAAATGATCCTCTCATGAACCAGCGTATAAACAGATGATTCCTCTCAGCATCGAGTGCTAAAATTCTCCACCGCTGATAAACTGAGTGAAACGACGCCTCGTTTCTGATTTAATCAGCGTCTGTTCAAACAAACCTCGTTCAACTCGTTTTTCAGTGTTTCATACAGTCGGTTCTGTTAAACAGCTGCAAAAAACAAGGACAAATACAACAGACTGATCCAGTAATTAATATTCTGGTGCTGGTCTGATCTGGTGAATAATCAGAGGAAGGAACTGAAACCTGACTGTGATGTTTTTCTGCCAGCATCAGCCTCTTAAACCATGAACAGTGTTGTTTTAATACAGAAGTAAATGTTCAGAAATTATAGCTAGAAGTTATTTTACTGTGTAATTTGTTAAAGTACAAAATACTAAAATCTAATTATCCACCAAAAGGTTGAAGTACCTTAAGCTCTGTGATGCTAACTTGTAGGCTAAAGAAGTACAAACAGGCTAATTTCCATCACAGCAGTTTGCGAAAATTTCAACAATATCTTTATAGTATTTTTTTATACAGTATATATATTAAAAATCTACCATTGGTATGTTTATGAACACTAATCTTAATCGTGAAACACAATTATTAGAATACGTTGAAGTTTCTGTAAGCTCTCAAGCTAGCTAACAGGAGCTAGAAAAACTAGCTAGTTAGCAACCAGACACATGATAGTCAGTAATGAGGTTAATACCAATGTTCTGGCAGTTTAAGTGCAAAATACAAAAATCTGATTATCATTCAGTGTCTTTACCACCAAAAAGTCAAGATAACTTAAGCTTTGTAACACTAACCTGTAAGCTGAAGAAGTACAAACAGGCTAATTTCCATCAGAGCAGCTAGCAGTTAGCGAAAAGTTCCATAAGAGCTTCTATATTTTTATTTACAGTATATATTAAAAATCTGCCATTGATATGTTTATCAACACTAATCTTAATTATTCAGCACAATTACTAGAGTACACTGAAGTTTCTGTAAGCTCTCAAGCTAGCTAACAGGAGCTAGAAAAGCTAGTTTGTTAGCAACCAGACGCACAACAGTCATTAATGAGGTTAATACAATGTTTTGGTCATTTGTTAAAGTGCAAAATACAAAAATCTGATTACCATTTAGTGTCTTTACCACCATAAAGTTAAGATAGCTTAAGCTCTGTCATGCTAACCTGTAAGCTAAAGAAGTACAAACAGGCTAATTTCCATCAGAGCAGCTAGCAGTTAGCGAAAATTCCCATAAGATTTTATATTCCTCACAGCTCTCCATTATAACAACCGGTTCCTCTGACTGAAGGGATGACGAGGTCCACTGGTCCAAGACCTTTTTTTGGACCTTTCTACAGTCTGATGAAGAAAACTTGGTGAACAAAAGAAGGACGTGCTATCTGTTATCTCTGGATGAGGTTTTAGGTTTAATAAAGTCTGGCTTTTTTGAACCGTCGTCCTCTGAATGTGTTAATGTGAAGTCAAAATAAAACTTCAAAAATCCAGCGTGTTGGTGAAAATAAAAGGAGAATATTTGAGTGTTTGTTGGTGTTTTAGTCGTTTGAATCACAGACTGATAATAGACTGATAATAAATGTTGGTATGATCCATTGATTCTGGTGCAGAATTATCCGTTAACATGAGGAAGTCAGGATGCTGTAACTCTGAACCTCGCAGGGTTTGTGGTTGTGAATATTTTCCAAACCCCACTGACTTTATTTCTGCTGACTATTCTGTTTTAGTGACTCAGGATGAATCTTCTCACCAGCCGGTGTTGAACTCCACGTGGGCGTCGAACAGAGCGACCACCGGCGCCGAGGCCGCCCTCCAGCCGCTGACCCTGGACCGGATCAGACCCTCCTGCTTGTCGTGTCGGACCACCTTGATGAAACCGGGACCGTGCTGGCCGTTGGTCTCGTCCACGAAGCTCTGCAGGTGGTCCTTCAGCTCCACTGTGGAGAAACAAACCAGTAGCTTTAGTATATTTAATGATCAGAGTTCTACCTTCACACTGTGAATATT